TCTCTGTAATTGGATTCTTGACATGGCCCGTCTGTTAGATGTCCAACGTTTCGATGCTGATGCTGATGATGCCGATCCTTGATCTGAACGTTGTGGTGAAGCAGAACGAGAACTTCCAGATGGACGGTGGTGGTGTTGACAATGAACATGAGTGTTCTTTAGATTACCTTCGCTTTGATACTTTTCTCCTTTGTCTTTCGAATTCTTTGAGATTATAAGACTCCCATCTGGTCTGTGTCGTGCACACATTCCGTTTCGATAATGTCCAAATACCGGGACTGTGGCGGAAAGATGTTGAAGGAGTCTAGCGGAATACGCTGTTGGAGGATCGTTTGGTAATCGAGCGTAGGGATGTCTTCCGCCAAGGGTGAGAGTTTGGGAGTATAGAGATGCAGCGTGGAGAGGATCGATACATTGTCGGTAGTATGTGTATACAACGATGGTATAGATCGTTGATGGGAAGAGGTAGAATAGGAAGACACCGAGGATTTGGGTAGAGGATTGAACGGACCATTTGTCAAGACATTCAGATTCGATGGCGGATTGGGTTTCAGCCGAGATTGTTGATCTCTGTTTTCAAAAAAATACGAAGATGACATTGAGATGAGAACGATGATTATAAAACAGAGATATGAGAGATATGACACGTACGAAAATAAGCTTGATTCCATCGTTATTTGTCTTGGCTTGAGACATGCAGTGTTTGATTATCTCGTCCTGTACGTATATACAACAGTTAGAATTCCCCGAATAACCCTTGAGGGCAGAGTTGTGGACGGTCAATAAACACCGATACGTACAGCAAATGTAAAATGGGTCACTGCGACAAGGATCCCTGCGGATGTCACCAAAATGGCAGAGATAGCTGTTAAATGTGTGTAAAGTCGGATAGATTTGAGACGGCGCTAAGTAAAAATGAAAGATGGTTTGATGTGAGTTGATGGTTGGAGGTAAATGGATCAATGCAAGAAGTGTATTCACCGTGATAGCGCTCACTCCACCGAATATTTCGATCATTCCTGTAAAGAAATACATAGTTCCTAGTGCTAGGATGATACCTCTTAGTTTCCTCGAGCGTACTAGAGGTGTATGAGTTCAGTTTTACCAAGTTATTATCAAGACATTCGAAGGAAATACTTACAGGAAGCTTCGTCAATGTCTAGCTCTTTCCAAAGCTCTGACTGGTGTGAGATAGTTTCAGTGAGCCACGGCTTTGTATAATTGAGAATCATTCATACCATAACCAACACTCTGGGAACAAAAAAATTGAGATAAATTTAGAACGAATGATACGAATGTACGGAGACAAAGATAGCACTCACGAACAAAGATATCTAATGGCGTTGATGGTCGCCACTAACATGCAAGTGTTCTGTCTTAGTAAGAAGTAAATGATAAAGCGAAAGAAGTGGTACCTATGATAACGAGCGTACGCCAGCTCGAATCATACAATCGTGAAAAAACGGAGGGTGAGTCTGAGGACGGTCGAGACTTCACTACTGCAGGGAGATATTATTAATGCCAAACGTCAATCATTTTGCGTTATTAGTCCTACTCAATTCGTAGAGTATTTTTTTCAGTAGAAATATCTGGCGTTCGCATAGTCTCGCTTAGTATATGACAACCAGTGATCCGCAAAAAACCGCAAACTTGGTACCTGGCCGATTTTCAGATAGTTATCACAATGCCGAAAATATGCCGGTAGCAAGAAAAAATGAGCAAAAATGGTGTGGATATTTAGCTCACTGCTATGAACGGTGAAGACGCTCCCTACATATACACGCCATATAACCATACTCAATACAACCTCAATAGCACAACGGTCGTCGTGCCCTCCTGTGCTGTCGTGCCATGGTACACTCGTTGCGTTGTTGGATAATCCCGCCGAACATCTCACTTTCAGACTCCGAAACCTCGAGGCGCCATGCGGTCTTCGGTCGAACAATCTTTTTTGGATGAATCCGATGATAACCGATAATAAGCGAGTCGAGAGGATTTCTACTGAAAAAAATACTCTACGAATTGAGTAGGACTATTGATGAAAAACTAACGTCTGCGCCCGTATCTCGTGTTATCGTCTAGGGGAAATGAGGTAAATATAGGTCAGATTTCAATCGGATCCAATCATTGTACCATTATGAGGGAAGAATGCTAATGGCGATGAATGGATTGATTATTGAACAAACAGACTTACCTCGAAGTTGAAGGGGAGGAGGACGGACTACCATCGTCAAGATGAAGCAGTATAGCAAGATAAAAGTTTACACAGTAACCAGTACCGGTGAGAGGGTCAAAACCACTTGAAGTTCAACTATTTATGCTGTCTCTTCGCCAGCACATCGTCCAAGCTATACTGCCCAAAATAGAAGGGCGTCCTGGTAACGGCCGCGCTTGAGAGTTGAGGATCTCCAAAGCTGTGGTTGCCACCTCATCCAGAGGGAAAAAAATACTTGTCATTGCCAGTGTCCTCGAGAATATTTCGGTTATAGGTCTTGTCATCTTACAAGGTTGGACATAGCCCACACGAGGCCACAGCTTTGCACAGTTAAGAAAAGACCGTGAGTTGGAAGAGGATAAAGACCGAGACGCCGGTTCATGACCGGCTTTGCCGAAACACAATGACGAATGCGGAGAGACACAAACACATCCAAATAATGTGGCAGTACTCATCCGTCCTCCTGGCGCAGCGACACTCATATTTCTACTTCACTCCACGACCTTCCCGTTCTCCCTCCTTCACGCTATACCTTCTATTCTACTAGTATCCCCCAATTTTGTATTTCTCTCTATCACCAAGTAGCAAGCTACTATAATGAACTCACGGCCACCTCCTCAAGGTCTGTTTCTCTTATCTTTAACCCTCTTACCAGAGAGGCTGTGGCAACCGCACGATGATTTTAACCGCATCTATTGACACTCTTTCTTTATAGGCAAGTATTCAACAAGTGCTTCCACAAATGCTGAATCTCACCACAATAATCCAATTCCTTCGACCTTTTCAGGTGCACCTTCGCGTTATGCCTTTGTTGGTCGAGTCTATGGCAGGAACATACGACCCGTTGTGATTACTTGTGAGTTCTCTATGGTCTTCTTGTGTCATGCCTCTCTAATGAAGTATGCAGTTGCTTTCCTTGCTTTCCTATGGACACTATTCGCGTAAGCATGCATTCCTTAACTTGCGAGTTTCTATCTTCTCACCTACCATTGTTTTAATTCAGTGCCGTGAGTTTGCGCGATATTTCCTGTATCGTTGTTGGAGATCTTGACTTGGGATTCCGTAGATTGGTAGTTTCCGAAGTATTGGCATTGAACGTAGTGGTAGGTCTTGGATTACCCTCTAGTTGACACTAGCCCGATTAATTGCCCTTTCGTAACAGAGGGATTCTCTAAGTTGGCAGTAATCGCCATTGTTTTGGGTGTCCTTTATATAACTGTCTGTCTCTTCGAGGTATGTTCTCAACGCATCGCTTTGATGGGTTTTCCTAATCTTTGTTTCAAAGGCATTTGGTGTATTTGCTGCGTGGTCGGTGCGTAAAAGCTGTTCATTCTAATTGGATTAATTCCAATTCCCTTTATAGCAACGAACTCCGCTAGTCCGCATTTACACGTTTCTTTCCGCTGCTACAACTCTCATTGTTATCGGAGGTGGGATATTCGAAATTATTGTCCACTTTACTATGAAGGTGTGTTTCATATAAATTAGCAGCCTAGCCCTTACTCATCCTACTTTAGAGTGATATCATTGGCATCTGCACACGAAGTTTGACTGGAGAAGGCTTTGTCGAGTACCCTTTCGGTTTCTTTGGTCCTAGACGGTCTGGCACTATAACTGCGTCAGAGGCGAATGAATGCAAGTATTCGACCATGTAAATACGATTTGTTGAAACACTAACTTTGACTTGCAGGGTGCAATGACGCGTGGAGCCACGACTCGTGGGCAGACATTGTTGGTCTCTTAATCCTCATCTGTATGTCCTGGTCTTCTCAACCCTCATTCCATACCGCTAATCAGTTCAACCCTTAGTCATCTCCTCTTTCTTCACTGTCACCGCTTTCGCGTACTACCGTCAACTTCTCGACCCTACGAGTATAGCCAATGTTACTCGTGCTCCTCAAAACCGCATGGGACCAGGTTACCCCCAACACTACAACCCTCCCTACGATGGTTCTGTTCCTCCTCTCGGTTACCAATACGGACCGCCTCCCAATGGTCAACCGCCTTACGGACAACCTCCTTACGGTGGCTACGCTCCTCCCCCTGGACCTCCTCCTGGCCACCAAGGCTACGATGTGGGAACTGGTGGTAAGCCTCCTGGGTTTTCAGGAGCGGACGGAAATGTCGGGTACGGAGTAGACGATAAGGAGAACCCATTTGCGGATTTCGATGAACCTGCTCATGGACCAGGTGAAGAGAGGGACGTGACGAGTCGACCTGGACCTGGGGGTAGGGACACTTTCCGCTAAATTTTGTTTGTTGTCAATCGAAAGTTGGATTGGACAAGTTTTTGTGTAAGCGAAAGCATAGCTTGGCGGGGGATAAAACTGTGTGTTTCTAGGAGTGGATTTGATTTAGTGTTGGGTTGGTTTGATTGTTGAAGATGGACTGTAACATGAACTTTTTTTTTTCTTTTCTCTGTTTGCCAATGCTAGTAATATTGTTGCTGCTTGTCCGAGTCCCCCCCTTTTTTGTATGATTATCCTTGCTCTTTTTCTCTCATGTACGATTGAAGAGCATTTGCTGAACGTGTTCGTGTCCTCTTGTATCGTGCAAAATATTAGTATTTGTCCTGAATGCTTTTAATTCGTGTTTTGTTGAGTACTGTGGTTTTAGATTTTGGACTACCTGTTTAGAAGAAACGGACTACTTCTTGGACACTTCGACGAGCCTGCCTCCGTGCTGAGCTTTAATGATATGAGTGTATAGACGGACTTTGTTCAACTACTTAACAAGAAAAGTGGAATGATATCTCGTTTCTAAAAAAAGGAAAGGAAGGCTGAGAAGTCTGCGGCGTGGATCGAACACGCGACCTCAGGATTGATTCTACTTTTTGCACGGCGATGGAATTGCAATCCCACGCTATACCACTTAGCTACGCAGACATGAGCATAACTTTGGAGGGTTGTTTCATTAAATTGGGATCCAAGCAGTAGGAGGAGGAGGAGGAGAAACCGGCAACAGGGACCCTATAAGGATACGGCCGGGTTGCACGCAACACGCAAGGCATCCATGCGTGCCGTGCAGGTTCGACCACAGTGAAGCTTAGATATCAACCCGGGGAGGGTTGAGTCGGACATCACCACGATCAAACCCGAGATGTTCACATATTGGATCTGGGCTGAGTAAGAACCGTAAGTGGAATGATATCTCGTTTCTAAAAAAAGGAAAGGAAGGCTGAGAAGTCTGCGGCGTGGATCGAACACGCGACCTCAGGATTGATTCTACTTTTCAGACAAGGCGATAGAATTGCAATCCCACGCTATGCCACTTAGCTACGCAGACGTGAGCATAACTTTGGAGGGTTGTTTCATTAAATTGGGATCCAAGCAGTAGGTACCCAGCACAGTGCGGGTACTCGATGGATGGATGGAAAAGATTGATGGGTTTGTGTAAAGATATGCATATGGTTCTAGCGGAGGTTAGGAAAGAGATATCCTGATCCTTTTTCGCTTTCGATGGTAGAGATTACTCGACCGCCGGACCCGCCGAATTTCTATAAAATATAGTTAATTATCGAGAAATCGACCAGTTTTTTTTGGATCATGGGTAGTAAAAAGTCCAAGTCCTTTTTGCATCTGTGTATTAGTGAAAAGGTGTGCATGACTTTTATACTACAGGAGGAGGGATATACATATAGTATTACATGGAAGAGTGAATTTTCAACCTTGGAATTATCTCCGCCCTAGTCAATTAATAGAGTCTGTGCTCAACGGTTCCCCCTCCCCTTTTTGAAGTTTCTCGGATGTAAATACCGTGTCACAGCTGGAAGGAGTGCTTGGCAATGGTCCTCGATCGTCGTCTTCGATCCTAGACTGGAGCCCCACAAAGAAAATCAGTTGTAAGACACTCGGAAAAAGGGTAAACGGTGTGTTTATAGATGACCGAAGTCAGGGGAGGAGCAGGGAGATGAACACTCACCTCATCGCCTTCGGTGATCGTTCCGTCCTTCTCTAATTGAGAGCTTCCAATGTCTGAGTCGGGATCGCTCCTAAAAACGACGGAAGTACGGTGGACTCCTATAGAGATTCAGATGGGTGGCGTACCGTTGGAAGTAAAAGTGAGACTTGAAAATCAGTCAATCGTTCAATATGGGAGACTCGAAGAAAAAAAAAGGAAGTGCAAGAGTGAGGAGGTGGGATGAAGTCAAACAACGTACGAATTCCCTCCAAAGCAGCTTGCGTCGCTTCTCTATGTGACATTTTCCTCTTTACGTTGATATGAGCGGTGTTGAAACCATGCTGGAAGCTCAAAGAACTGATCCTTTTATGGACAGGTTTTGATTCTAGATCCTCTTTCTTATTCGAAGTGATCTGGCGACTGTTGACGTTGTATAAAAGAGTGACGAGATAAAGTGGGCCGATAACGAATGTTAGAGCGGTTTCGACTAGAGATAGTAGGAAATGTTCATTTGAGTGCTATTAGCAGGCACTCGAGGAAAGGCGACGAAAGAGTTTGGCATTCAGACTCACTATTACTCATGTTGAAGAGGAGATAGATGGTCAATGCAGTGGTCGCTACTATAGCCGTTGTTGCGCCAGTCTGGACAGCTTGTCGCACAATTCGACGGATGATGCTATGATACAAACGACATAAAAAGATAACTTTTGAGTTAAAAGGGAAAAAGAGAGGGGAAAATCAAATACATTACCTTTCCGCTTCCTTCGAGACTGCCTGCATGGTGTAAAGTCGAAAGACGAGGGCGGCCGTTATAGTTATATCTAGTAAAAAAGAGCAAAAAGTTCATGAATCTTCTCGACAATTGGAATTGAATGATGAACATGGATTTGCTTACCGGTTACTGTTTGCGTTAGCAACCATACGATAGCAGGAATTTGAACGGAGAACCGTTCTTCGTACGTGTCATGGATAGCTAAGACCCAAGCCACTGCGATGTTTCCCGCAAACTGTGTAGCGAGAGATGGTTAATATTGACAATCGAGAACAGATATAAAGCCACTTACGGTCGTCACAGCAAGAAGTGCAAGGAGAATACAGAGCCACGATCTCTTTGTTCTGTCCACAACTAGAGTTGAGAAAAGGAGCGAGAATGAAATAGAGACCTATTCTTACAGAATCCAGTGCCGATGAACAAGATAAGATTGTACGAGCAGAGTCAATAATGCGGTCGTTATGAGATATAACTGAACCGGCCAGTACTTTTGAGGGAAGAGAGGCTGTCAGTTAAGAAAAGATGGTTCGGAACGAAAAACCTACTTGTCGAAGAAGGTACTCCTCGTTGCCCCAATTGCTTATCGTATACTAGCATTTTGAGTTGGATCAAAGAGGGGTCTGGGTTAAATAGAGACATGTTTCGTACCATATACACGTCTGCACATGCAGCGATTTGCAAAATCAAGCCCATAAACAAGGCTACGGAGACCAAGAGCTTCAGAGCCATCTTGTCCCCACGATAGTTTCTAAAGTAATAAACCGCTTCGTGGGCTACGTGGGTACTGATGATCATGCTGACCCAGCTCCCAATGAGGATAGAGCTATTGGATCATGATTAGACTGTCAACGAAAATGTATGTAGAAATACGATGGAACGACGTACCCGAGAGTTTCGTCTTGATTGCCCATCTCTTACTTTTTTTAGGGTCAAAGGAGAGAGAAAGATGTAAATGAGAACCATCTAACCGCAATGTCGGGGATATATACCATCGCGCTAGTATTAGGAGGTATAAGATGTGTCTCACTTACACCTCTCCAGCAATTCGGTATATTCACCGCAAAGTCTGATCGTATCCCTATCCGACTGGAAGTCTACGGGGGAGATGTTAGAAAACGGGAAATTATCGAGGCCATAATTGATCAAGAGGAGTCTGCATGCGATGCATCAAGCAGACTTGAAATTTTAAGGAGAGCTCCTTTCCACTTCTATGCGGTCTTGAAGAGAGTAAAGAGGACACATGTCTCAGAATCAAATGTGCTCAAAGGTACGAACTCTTCTATATGGAAGATTTCTGGAGTAAGTTATCAAGTACTCGCGATGGGAATCCCCAGAGAACCAATTCTCACCAGGGTCACCACAAACGTTAGAGTCTAGAGAACTCGAAATAGTTTCGGAGATTCAACAAGTTGTAACAGCTTGCAAGGCCTTCGTCAGGTTTATTTTCAGAACGTGCCTTGCCTTGCAGAAATATTCCTCGACGGACTGGAGCAGCCGCTGCCCGTGGTAAGAATCCGAACAGAAAGCGAATTCGTATGCTTGTATTTGGTGCCCAAGTTGATGTAAGACAGAAATGCCGGCTGCGCCCGGCAGATGGGTCTATTTGATATTGTTTACAATACTTGCTTGCAACTTTACATCCAAACAACAACAGACAAAGCGCCCATTGTTCCGAATTTGGCACTTCCTTTTTTCTTTTGCCGCCCAAACAGGACAATCGTTTATCTATCAGTCCTCTTTGTTCTCGATTTGACTTTCCCATTATCCCAACGACCTTCCCGTACCTCATCCATAGTACTTATTCCCATTACTCGGCTCTTCGGTAAGTGCTTGCATGCAACGCCCATATCGTCACATTTATGCACGAATATACGCATATGCAGATACATCAAACGTTCGCGATAAAGCTGATATTTGGATCAGCTTCCGACCTACAAGACGTACAATGGTTACTTTGATTGGAATAGATTTCATATGAAACAATAGCAACTTGAGGTTCAGAAGGTACAACAATGGCACCTTCTTTGACCTGGTCGTTACGTAAGGTTAAGGCACTCATTCAGGATCGACGGCTTTGTTCTCTTTACTCGTCGGATACGAAAACGTATAAAGGGATGGTTTCCATCCAGGAATCCCTCCAACAGCTCTTCCCTCCAAGTCGAGTCTTTGCTCCTTCACCCGTCTTTGACGATTATCATTATTTTCTTCGACCTTCTTCTCTGCTCCTTTGAAGCAACACACATATTTGCCCAAGGCGACCAACTGTCTTTCCAACCACTCAATCAAAGATAAAAATGCAATTCACCATCGCCTCCGTCTCTACCTTCTTTGTCGTCGTCGCTGCTCTCTTCAACGGCGCTTCTGCCTCCGTACTCCGTGCTCGTCAGATTCCTAGTAAGTTCATGACTGTCTTTCATGAATGTCTATACGAATTCGTATCTAACGACGTTCTTTCATTACAGACTGCGCTGCTCAATGTATCGCCAGTGCTGATTATGGCAACTGCCAACCAACCGATAACGTCTGTTTATGCAACAACAACGCCTTTGTATCCTCTACTGCTTCTTGCATTGCTAGCTCATGCCAAGGTGACGAGCTTCAAGAAGCCAATGCGGCTAGCCAAGCCTTATGTGCAGCAGTGGTATGTCCTCTCTTACTTTGTTTAGAACAAAACATCGATACTGATATCGGTCTTCACCTAAGGGTGTAACACTTACATCTTCAGTCGCTGCTCCTACTTCCACTACACCTACTTCCACTTCTGCGAGCTCCTCTGCCGATAGCTCCTCGTCTTCTGCTACAAATGCCCCTGACACTAGCTCCTCTGGTAACACATCCACTGACAACAGCGGTGCTCTCTCTCACGGTGTGAACGCCCTTGCCGGTATCGTCGTGATCGGAGTCGCCGCTGTTATGTTGTAAAAAAGGAAATGTCCTCTTTCTTTCATGCTTCAATGTTTTGTCGCGACGTGATTTTTACGGCAAGAATGTTGGCCATTTGTTACTATTTAGAGCTTCATTCATTCAACGTTTCTTCCCGGTATTTCATCGGTTGTCAACCTGTCTCTACGAAAAACTTTCTTGCACCATTCTCTTTTTGTCTTCACAAAGCTACATAGTACTGGTACTGCTCCTTTCTAACTGTCCATATTTATCTCACTTTTCGGTTCGGTTTCCTTTTGTCTATCTTTTCTTGTTCTTGAAAAAAAGTCG